AAACTAGCGTAACTTTTGCAAACGCCGCTACAATAAACTTTTCAAAAAAAAAATCTTCACATACGACAAACGTAGGCTTTGCGAAACGGTACAATAAGCTCCTTCTCTTCGCTGTTCAAAACCATTTATATCCCAGTATCGTCAAATTTCGTTGCCACGCTTTTCCATGAATAATTTGAATGTCGGATCCGAAAAGGCTTAACGGTCGACTCCGCGGACCAATAGCATAATTGCATAAATGAAACTATTACCGATCGTAAATCAACTTAGACTGGCACTTTTACGAGTTTTACCACGCCAAAATTCCTATGAAAATCGTTCTTAAACAACTAAAAGTTTCCTTATCGAAAGTAACACTTGTGCAAAGCGCGAGCACTCTGCTACCTTCCACGAATTTAACAATAACAAGACAAAATTTATTACATTTAAACACACTAATTACGGATTCGATTTTCCCAGACTTCAACTTCTTAATTAACTCCGGCCGAGCATTAATTGAACTAAAACAACGATCCTCTGCATAAAAATGGGAAATAAACGTCTTTCCAGAGTAAATAAATGCCGTCCAACTCCGGCCTAATAAAAAAACACAACAATATGCCTATCCAAAAACCCAAATGGGCTGTAACTGTTATTTATTTTTCTTAGACTGCTGATAACCATTTTGTTCACAACGCGGTGTGGTGTGGATTGAATGAAAAACCTGAACACATTTTCAGCAATTTGGCAAATTTTTAATGCATCGCTTGATACGTGCAACAATCCTCCACGATTTTTTCTAGTTAAAAGCTTTGAATGACTCTCTGATACGAATATCGCACCTGCACATATGGAACATTTAACAGACTTAGCTATTTTTCTTGTAACAAAACCTGAAATATACTTAGTACTAGTAAGAACTTAGTTACGTCTATACCTAATAGGCAAATAGGTACTGCCCTTACCTTGCTGGTAAAGGATGTCGACTAATAGTTAGTTCTACGTTATTTTAAGAGAATGGGAAAGTCGAAAACGCTCGGTATTGCATTATTGTTTAACACCTTCGTAGGTACCTTTCTAAAATCGACTTCATTTCCCGCAAATGCACTATGGTGGGAGTAAATTTTTCTCTTCGAATGGCTCTGATCCATTGGCCCTTTAAACTTTTATCCGTTGAAAATCAGCATATTATTTAAAAATTTATCGACAGAGTACATGTTGATAGGCACAAGCTGACCTAAGTTTATTGGTTTATTCTCAACAGAAATTTATCTGTTCACTAATTCGAGCTAATCACGAGAATGATTAATGAACGGAACATCTAAAATAACAGCTTATTTCATTATACTGCATATCATCTCAGCGATTTTTGCCCCGCGGTGCATTGTGTGTTGCATACTGTGTCGACAACACCTTAGATACGTTAAGCGCAGTCTAGTTATAGTCTCTGATCTGATCAGTTTCATTGGTAACATCTGATAAAAAAAAGTGAATCTAATGAATAAATAATCACCTTCAAGTTTAATAAAGACCATATAAAACATTAAACTTGATGTAAATTCATAGTACATTTCCCTCAATGGTTTCAAATCAATACCTGGGATGTTTGAGACTACTCTGTTTTTGACTTTTACGAAAATCTAGTAATCTGAGGCACTGTTGTAGGTTGATGGGGAAACATATTTCTAATCAACCTACAACGAGAAAGTGCTGCAGAAATATTGTACTATTTTCGGATTAAGTCAAAAACGGTATTTTCGAGACATATAAGGCCAACCTGCGTAGCTCAGATGAGTTTTACGTTAGTAGCTCTAGCTCTGGCTACAAGGGTCCTGGGTTCGAATCCCAGGTAAGGCATGGCTGTTTGTGATTGTATAGTGGGTTGAGTGGGGAGAATAGCTAATTAGCTAACACTCCGCCCACTATAAAATAAAGGCAATATAAGGTATTGATTAGAAACCATCGCTACAACGTTCCTAAGCTGTTAAAAGAGAACGTCACTGCCATGATCTATATGCCAACGTTTCAGTGCCATAGAAAAGTTACTACTATGAATCGTTTAAATGAACTGCATAGAAACGTTTAGTTTGAAACATCACTGCGATGTTTTATTATGAAACGTTTTTAGGTAGGACATAAGGCTGTTTATGTGACATTTATGAAACGTATAAGTGTACTTAGCGTTTCGTGTTTCATCAAAACGTTTTAACAACGATAATGCTTTTTTGCTTAGTGGGAGGCGGTCCTTTGTATCTATCTCCCCAGATTAGTTTCGAATGCCTCCGGGTATCCTAGGAGACTTATTCCGGCGATTGACAAAGCCAATGCTTTAAACCAGTTTCTGCCTAGAGGCTGGCCCGATTAGCTTCAATAATAATGAGTGGTAGTTCTGCCTTCTTCCCGCCATAACTCGACTTGGATAGCCGCTTCACCTAGAACGGAAATCCGTGAATTTTGGTAATCTCGTAACAGCGTGTTTGAAGCATGAATCACCGGTAGATTTCCCGCGAAAATGTCCCGAAAACTTGACTGTCCCATCACACTGTAGGCCGCACCCGAATCTATTTCCATCCTTATTGTTTTTCGATTCATTACCACATTAATCGTCAGGGGCGTTCCAACCCGAGGGTGCAAGAAGTGCGTCGCACACGGGCGGCAATTCAAGGGGGCGGAAAATGTATAAATAAAATGCCTAAACAAACTGTTCTTTTAAAGCTAAAAAACAATCTTTTTGCACCGCGTAACATCGTCAGATGCGCGTCTCACTCTGTATTACATTACACAGGGACGTAGCAACAGGAGGTGCAACTGGTGCGACGCACCAGGGCCCGGGCGCCGAAGGGGCCCGGCCCGGCGTTTACTTTGTTTAAACTATTTCTATGTTACTGTTACATAATGAATGAAAGGTATAATGTTAGAACAAGAAATTACTAGAAAATATGGGGTACAGAAGGATTTTAAGAAATTGGTTATTATTGTACTTATTCTGTTAAAATGTAAATTTAGCAATATATCGGCAGACCTTCATGAATCATAATCCTTCCTTTAAGAGATAAGCGCACTGTGGTAGGGACCGACTCTAAAGCACTCCCTAAACGATCAAGCGGTTTGATCAAATGTTTGATCAAACGTGTTTGAACGTGTAGAAACTTGTTTGACGTTTGAAGCGAGGTTTGATGTTGTTTGATAGAAAGTTTGTTTGACTCAAACGGTTGGAGAGGGGATTGATCGTCTAGAACGGTTTTTGTCAAACATTGCGTCAGTCACTAGGCGAAAACCATGGAGAGTGAATGTGAAAACTCGGAACGGGAATTTATAACCTTGTTAATTGACTTGTACCGGATTCTCCCGAATTGTGGAAGGTGAAAAGCAAGGATTATTTTAATAGAAATAAAAAAAATGCAGCGTTGGAAAAAATCGTAGAGGCCTTAAAAGTACTGAAACCAGATTTTACAGTGAAGCTTTTGAAAGCAAAAATTAATAATTTGAGAACAAGTTTTAATAGAATGTATAAGGTCATCGAGGGGAAAAAAGTATCAGGAACATCTACGGATACGGACTTCTGAGGTAAGTATTTATATCTTCATTTTTTATTTTATTTTTATTGTACATTTTTAATTAGTTTAGTATTACACGAATACAGTAGGTACTTAACTCAAAACCTAAATATATATCAACACTAAATATTGTCACTTATTAATAATGAGGTACTTATTTTGCCACGCAACTGCCCCAGAGGTGTTAAAGAACTCGCAGAAGTCGTCCCTTATTGTTTTTGCTAATACTGTTGCATTGCCTTTAGTCTTTTGAAGGGAAAGCATCTGTGGAGTGTCTTGTCTCCATGACCCAAGTTCCTTAGCACCAGTAGTAACGTCTTCATTGTCAATGTCCTGAGGTGGCAAATAGTTAGCTCTGTTTTTTGAGCATAAATAGTTATGCAAATGGCAATATGTCATAACGATTTTTCTAACTTTTAATGGCTCAAATTTAATGGGTTTTTGAAATATTTTAAATCTTTTCGTTAATATTCCGAACGCATTCTCCACGACTCTTCTGGCTCGGGAGAGTCTGTAGTTGTAAATCGTTTTATCATTTGTCAGAGCAGCCCTATTGTACGGTTTCATGAAATTAGGGTGAAGTTGGAAAGCTTCATCGCCAAGAAACACGTACGGACATTTCTTAGAAGTGCCTGGTAACTGTCGAGGATCAGGCAAGTTAAGCTGGTTCTCAGACAACTTGCGCCAAAATAAGGTGTTTTTCATAACGCCACCATCAGACACTCGACCATTCGCTCCCACATCCACCATCAGAAATTTGTAGTTAGCATCAACAACAGCCATAAGCACAATGCTGAAATATCCCTTGTAATTGTAATAGTATGATCCGGAATTGGGTGGTTTTTGGATTGCCACGTGTTTACCGTCAGCGCTCCCTAAGCAATTGGGGAAATTCCATTGTTCTTCGAACTCCTGCGATACTCTTTCCCATCCATCTTGCGATTTCGGAACCTAAACGAAAAACAAACAAGTTAAAAAGTAATCGTAAACGATTTACATAAAGCGCATTTCCACTTGCATTCATTTCCCATTATTGTAAGATGCAACTTCTATTAAAATCGTAAAAATCCGGCCACAAATATGAAAGATAGCGTTGCACATGGGCAATCCATTTTTGACGTGCTACTTCAATTTCAGTTTATGGGAAGAATTTCATTTCAATGCTTTT